TTAATATTAATATTAATATTAATATTAATATTAATATTAAATTTACATTTATTTTTATATTAATATTAATATTAATATAAAATTAAATGTAAATTTAACTGATGTTAACACTGAGGTACTCGCTACTAAATCTCGTAATCCTTGAAAGTAGCACAGTTGGATTTTAAAAAACTAAAGTATTCTTACATCAAGTGCGTTTCCACAAGTTCGAAAAGCCAAATAAAGCACACTGCACTCAGTTTTAAGATATTAAGATGCGGTAGAGCACAATGCCATCAATAGATTAGATATTTTACAACAAAATCTGAAAAGTGAAACACATGTTTCTCACTAATACGTAGTTCCTCAATTTGAGTAACTCCAGGTTTTACCATCTAAAATATTTTATTGAAACATTTTTGCTCTTTTCTAGTAGCAAATTGAAAAATGTAGAGTTTGTGCAAGTGCTCAAAAAGCACCAGAAAAATTGAATGAAAGAGCGTAGAAGTAACAGACTTGAGCAAAAAGTAATGCAGCGATAACACTGTAGTGAAGTCAAAATTCAAAGATGCCTCAAAAAGCTTATAGTACGATACCGATTGATTGGAAGTTGCTTTGTTTTTTAGAAATCTCCGTTCTTAATCACAGTCGGAAAAAACAGTTCTTATCATTTTTTAAATGATACCGATTAATTTTCCTACTTTGGTTCAACATTCGTCTTGCAAGAACCCTTGTCACGACAAAGATTTTTTTATCACTATGTATTGTTAACAATGATAATTATTTTTATTGACTTTTGACACAGATAACAACATTAACAATTGCACGTTTTACTGAGGCGGAACAGACAACAATAAATAATAAAAAATTTTTTTTCATTTATACGTCTTCTCTGCATCGTTTTCCTGTCATTCGCACCAACAATGCAGTTTTTTTTATAATTCAGAGAGTTCATACAATAGTGATTTAGATAATATTTAAGTTGTGTGAAGTATGTTCGGTCGCGTTTCGGTGAAACTAGTGACTACATTTTGAAAATTTCACTTTTTTCTTTTTTGATTTTGTTGTAGAAGTTGCCATCTAAGGTGAATTGAGTGACGCTACTTCTTATCATACTGAAATAGATTAAGAGAGATATCTCAAAATATTAGACATCTAGGTAACAACGTTTTCAGGCTTTTAAAAACAGACCTGCATAAATTGCTTAACTGTAAAAGCTTTTAACAGGAATTTAGTTCAGCGCACCACAGAGCTTCTGCGACCTGTAAATCTACAAATTCAGAAAGCTCTGAAATCTTTCTTTCTGCTAATTTGAAACATCCTTCTGCTATATTTCCAGTAGGTAGTTTTGAACATACTGTGTTTGCAAAGGAAGTTATATCTGCCTAAAACAAATAGTTTACGTTCGTGAATGAATAGTCCAATTTGGTTAAAATATCTTTTAATAACATCTTTCGTTAGTAGAAGAAAATATTCTACTAAAAAATTTAAAATGTTTTGGAATTGAGGATAACTAAAAGATTCATCAAGTAAAAAAGTGCAAAATGCAGGTTAAGCAACCTAATTTGCTGCTAGAATCATGCTTTACTGGGAGAGGATTTACAAAGTTGTGTGCGGTATTTTTAGAAAATTTTTATAGCTTACAATTACTGTTGGTATTTGAGTTATTTGAAAGTTGCTAGCTAAACAGTGTCACCACGAGAAAGTTAAAGACCAGAAAAAATGTAATGATATACAGGCAGAAAGCATTAAAATAAAAAGCTCAAACCTTTGCTGACAGCGAATAAATTTTTGCGTTGCTCAACATCCTTTCACAAAATATACATATTAATTTAGAATTCTAAAAAGTGTAATAATTTTCAATTATTAGATTAAATAATTTAACGTAGACTTTATTATTATTAAGTTATAGAAAAAAAAAGGTGTATCTGGTTCGAATAATTACCATCTTTCCTTGTTTGGGCCCAATTTTATCGTATGGCTCTGGTATCTGACTGACAATTTCCACAGGTATTGGACGCCGTGAAATTGTCGACAGAATTTCACCATTTTCATTCGATTCACCAGTCACTCGGTTTACGCTATTGGTGACAGGTACGGAGCTCACACTGACTTCAGTCTTGTTGCTCTCAGTAGAAATCCCACTGACAACATTTTCTTCGCAAAGACCAAGCGAAACACAGACATGCTTTGTTGTTATGTCATAGTTTACTGTATAATAAATTTCTGGCAACGATGAATCGACAAATCGAAAACAGTGCTCCTTAAAAAATTATCGAAAAGAACAGTTAGTAATGCTGTTTTAATTTTTCAGAAGTTCCTTGTTGATATTTTGCTCTAAAATAAATGATACTTTTTAAAATAATTTGTCTGACATAAGCTAGTTGCTCATCTGATATGTTATTTTTAAATTCAAGTCATTATTTAAGTTTTGCGTCAAATTTCACTTTAACACGAAACTATACTTAACACAGTTTTAAGAAAGAATCAAAAAAAGCAGTAGTGTTCAGGAATACAAGAAACAACTACAGAACAATAGAAACAGTTTTGAATTGCGTCGACTAGCTTTTCCCGACTAAAATCTAGAAGCAGAAATTTCTAGGACGAACTTGGTTGTCATACAGGTGGTTGTGTAGTCAACAAAACTCTGGCAAACTTTCATTAAAGTGCGTGTAACAGTTTCTACAATGAGTTCTGGTTGCAAAAGGTTGTTTTTTCAGCACTGCTTCTCAGAATTTTGTTCCTATTTTCTGAATATTTGTTGCTGCAAGTATCATTTTTTTCAACTATTTTTCTTTCAAAATTTTTCTTACATTTTTGGAGCAATTGTTCTGCCTTCTTTTATCATTTAAACTATCATGATTTCCTCTACTCTTTGGTTACAGGCTAAAGGTCGGTCAACATTTAAAATGCAAGTAAGATAGAAAGCTAAAGAAAATCTCAAAAAAATTTACAAAAATTCTGCTGTAGAAACACTTGCTTTACAACACTGTAGTCTTCTATCCAGTAAAAGCCGAAGTTTATGAAAAAATTGACGAGTTAAGGCAGGAAAAAACTTTTATATGTTGCGGTATTTTGAGCACTTTCTTGATGACTTCCGAAATCAGTGCTTTGGCTTAAGAAACCGGGATATTTCGAGTAAAGAAACTTCTTCACTTTCTCATTGAAAAAACGAAACAGAGTTTACGCGGTGGAGATAAGTTTTTTTTTTTGCATTCTCACTTTATTCTCAAAGCTTACATTAGTTACGAAGACTTAACGACTTTAAAAACTTGGTATCCTGAAAATACTTTCTGAGAGAATACTCCTTTAAAAAATTAAGTTTGTTAACTTCTGGATAAACAGAGCAGTCATTGAACGTTTCATGTCTGCTACAGATGTTTCTTTTTTTTTTTAAATCAGACGTAAGCAAATTTAGTTTTCTAGATATTATTATCAAACAAGCGAAAGATTTGTTTCAAAAAGCAATTTTAAAAATTTTTAAATGAGGCTGTTTCGGCACAACCTTTATTTTTTTTTTTTTTGCTGAGCTCTTTGCAACGGTTTTTTTTCTTATGGTAAGTAAACTTTTATTAAACCTTTTGAGTCATTTAAATTTTTCAGAAGTAGAGAATGAGAAGCAAAAGATTTAAAACAAACTTGTTAAGTATTTAATGGAAGCTTTAACATAGTAATTTGACAAGCATAGCCTTTCACCAGACAGCTCTGTTGAAAACTGCTTTGCTCACTAGTACGACGGTGTTATCATGGGGAAAAGAAATAGTAAGAGGCCCTTTGATAATAAAAACCATCTGCTTTTCGAAGTTTTTAAAAAAAATTTCTGTATCGTTGAGTATCTGTACGTCATTGAGGTTCAGCTAACTATGTAATCCCGGCTTTGTTTATATTTGAAGGTTTACATGAAATACTTTGTTTTACATTTTATATATTTACAAATTCTTCCTGTAGCTTGCAAAAAAGCCAAATTCCATGCGCTCAGTTGAGTCCATATTTTTGCCACTAAAAGTTCCTGCAATGCTAGAACAACAGTTTTAGAGCGAAAAAATCTAAGTTGGCTTAAAAAGCGAGAATGGTGAAGAAATAAAAGCCAGGACAGACGCGATATATAGGTGTAGAGACCAACAAGACAAATCTTTTAGCGTAACTACTGTAAGAACTTAAAAACTGCACTAGAAATGTCAAATAGTTAAATAGTTTTGGTATCTCTGTAATTTAAGCATTACTTAGATACAACTACTATTACATTTATCAAGAGAAATAATTTTACTTTGCCGGCTAATGAGTGTAAACACGAGGCTGGTAATGGAATTTTCAGACTTACGACATAAATATTCTGTTTTATTGAAATCTAAATTAATTCAAAAATGTGTTTCCTAGTCTCTTAAAACTCTTTTCAACGAAGAAGTTATTACTAGCAGCCTGCAAAAGCGACAGTGAAAACAGAAATTGCTTTATAGGGTTTCTTCACTTGAAATAAAAATGTCCGCAATGAGAATTAATCTTACTCTAAACTGAAGAGGTAAATGGTAGCATTTGTCATACAGCGCTAGCTTTAGCTGGCTTTGGCTCATACCCATCCGGTGTTTCGTTACTGATAACAACTGAGTACAAAGGAAGCACCCAAGACTTGTCGGTTTCCGCAGCTTCTTTTCCACAAAACTAAAATGTTAAAGTTTGATAAACTGTTCTATAGAAATGTCTGTACCTAATTACAATTTTTTATTATATTACCTGTTAGGAACTGGCTTGAGTGTCGTACTTCCATCACCAAAGAAGAAGGCGTTTGTGGTGTAGTAGGTGGCTAAAGATTCATAAATTAAGAAGTGTAGTAGTAAAGAGTGATTACAAATGAATAAGTGGCACTTCTAAAGCTTAAATAAAGGTATGTAGATGCTTTGTTCGTTTTCCTCATTTAACAATGACAGGTTCTTCTAAAATCAATTAAATATAATTATGCGCAGCCGTCATCTTGGTAACTGTTTTTCCATTTAAATAATTGAACCTACTTCATTTAAAGCACCAGCTGTTGCTTGAAAATAACCACAAGTAAAAGTTTTATCCTGTGTTAAAAACAATCAGAATTATGACTTGTCTTTTTTTTTTGAAAAATATACAGAGGAAAACAACTTGAAGCTTCAATTCTAATTCAACACTGGCAAATTGCATTATTTACCTTCTTCTTATAGTTTACGAAAGAATCAAGAAATGGATTTGAAATAACAACGGTTTTAGCAGAGACTTCTGACTAGCCGGGTGTTTTTTACTTTTTTCTTTTTTTTTTTCCAATCAAATAATACTTGATGAAGCGCTAAATGTTGTGAAATGACAAAGTAAACGAAACGTTAGCTACCTATCAGTTTCGCAACAAATAATTAAATGAGCACAAATAAAAATTAAAGTTGGTCGTGATGGTGGTAAATTACAAAAAGAATTCCCTATATTAGTAGATCTTAATTTCTTTTTGCTAAAAATATGATCTTTTCACCGATTCATTTCAGAGAGATGCTTTGAAGTTATAGAAGAAAATTTAAAGCTTTGAACTTTATAGCCCTAGCAAGTTCTTCTCCCTGACAGTTATTTATTGTAATTGCTCAGTTAAACTCAAAGATTTATTCGTAAAAAACGAAGGCATTTTTGAATATTGGTTCAAGAAACCTTATTCTGTGTAAACAAATTGGCTTAAAACCAAAAAAGTTTCGTTTTGATCTTAGTTTTCTGCAGAATATTTTACGTTCCATCAGGTAAATTTTTAAATGTTTAACAGAGGAGAGAAGAGAACATTGGATGAAATAGCGCATTAACCTACTATGTAAGCAGTGCGTATCGTGCGAGTTAAAAAGTTGAATTTCAAGTGGAAAATAAAAGTAGAAATAAGAGTATAACAAACTTAACAGTCAGCGGTCATTAAAAAGTGTACATACAATCGTTACTGTAAAAAAGTTTGACGATAAGCAGAAATGAAGAAAATTTGCGTAAAAAAGCAAACTGAAACTCTAGCGCAATGAATCTGGCAAATTTTATCTGGTTTTATTCGATATTTAATAACTAAAAGTAAGCAATAGCAAGTTTGCAGATAGTTTTGATTGCAAATTAGGTTTTAGAATCAGCATCGTTGTCCAGAAGAAGAAGAATTAAAAAGCCAACCTGAAAGCAAAACGATGATAAACATTGTGGAAAGAACTGCGGTGATAAATGTTCAGAGATGTTAAAGAAGTCGATTTTGAGTCACCGTCGTATTTTAGAAGGTTCGTCTGCAATTTTCAATAGCAGTCGCTTTCAAATTTGCATTATCTGTTGTGGGCTCTTTGTTCGCCTTGGTGTTGCTGCAACAGAAGATGTAATCTGTGGCAAGTGAGGGCTTAGAAGTGTTGGTTTATAATTCGAGGTGTGAAATATTTAAAGATGGTAAATCGGCAACCCAACAATTTACCTTATATAAGCAAACAAAAACGAAAAGACAAAGCGATAGTAGTATAGATTTGCGTACTGTTCATAACACTCCTCAATGGTTATGGAAAAAGAAATTTCACGATTTCTTATGTCGATAAAACTCATCTGACATTTGCAATTCGCTTATTACAAAGGCTCAACGTGAGATAATTGGAGAAAAATGTGAAATTCTTTAGCACAAAAAAAAGAGGAATTTTTTTTGTAAAAAAGTGAACGCTTCGGCTCTTTTAACCATAAATTCTCGAATTGTTTATGGACTTTATTCTTCTATAATATTAAGGCATCTTAACAAGCAAAAAAATAGTGCTACTCTACTGTTGTAAATTTGATTATATTTCCGTATTGCAGCTATTTGTCGAATGTTTAAAGAGAAATTAGAGAAAGAGAGAGTGAAAAAAAAGAAAAAAAAAAGCAGTTATTTTTTTAGTGATGTACTCTAGTTTTTTTTTCGCTACTTTGATAAACGATTTTTCTTCACTTTCAAAATTAAAGTCACTCTTACAACAAAGATGTTCGTAACGATTTTTTTGGGAAACTTTGACAGCATTCCTTCTTGCCAAAAAAAGTTGATTTTTGCCAGTCCTCATTTGGAAGTTTCGATAGAACAGACAGTTATTCATTCTTTCACCTAAAAACCTACCAACTAGATGTTGGCCATTTGGTCTCTGAGTTTTGAACTTCTCTGTTGTTCAACGAAGATGAAAGAAAAGCACTGATAACTGTCCTAATTTTCAAGGCTACCTTCCAAAAAAATCTTGTTGCTATCAGCGTGTTTTGATAGTTTTATATGAATTATCGACAGTCTCTCTACAATTGGTTTACTACCCTCATATTTTACCGATAATGCTTGTTGAATTTTTTGCTTTGAAAATCAAAAGAAAAAGTTGTTTAGGAGGTTTTTTGCTTTTTTTTAGAACTTACCAGCTTTTCAGTAAGTAATGGCAATAAAATCACTGCTAGTGTATTTGCACTGAATAAACAATCTATTGACTTAAGTTTGACCGATCCATTTCAATAAAACGAAAGTATGTGTTTGAAAAACTTTTCAGAGCACTTTTTATTTGTTTATATTTGAAAAATTAAGGCATAATTTCAACAAAGATTTATTACCTGTCAAGCGCTAATGACCGATAAAATGGACTTTCTTTTCAAAACTGTAGTTTTGAGCTGTTGTTTACTAAATGGCAATTAATAGCGCAGTTCTTTTTGCTTAATATTTACTGAATTTGTGTCACGTTGCAAACAACAAAAGCACAATTATTTGCAACTTTTAGGAATTTATTGATGCTCACTGTACCCAAAAAATAAACCAAAAAATTGTTTTAAAATCAATAGTTAAAAGTTCACCACCGAATTGAATAAGGTAAGCTAATTTAATAATTCTGATGGTCACCACTTTCTAAATTAAATTTTTATGGTCTGGTTGCTTGTAAATAGTAACTTCTCTTTTATTTATTAGGCAATATGTACTTCGGCAGTGCAAGTCAGCATAAAATTTTTAAACTTGTGAATAACAACAAAAATTAGCCAAGGCTAAAAACCTAAAAATTTGAAAACAAAAGGATTTCCTATTTATTTTTTTACCTGGCAACATTTGCTAATTTGAAGGTTCTGCATTTATTTTATTTTCTGTCATCACTACTTGATAGAAATTTGGTCATTATTAAGGGTAACAATATTATTTTTAGCAATACTTTTGTCACCTGACTTTTTTAAATTATTATTTGGTAATTCTCTGAGGAAGTGTTTTTTTTCTGTCTATAAATTTAACAGTTGAAAATCAACTGAACAATGATTAGAAACTCTACTAATATAGAAATTTTGGTGTATAGTTGTCACTTATTAGGCGTATTTCTAATAATGCGATTTCTTTCCTTTACGGGATTTATCTGATTTTGTGGCTTTTCATGTGACTATTGCTGCTGTTGTTATTGGTGGAACTTCAATTTATCTTCTGACAGTATGTTAATAAATTCATGCAAAAATTTCTAATTGGCAGTTCAGTGGTTGTAAAAGAGGAGAACATAGTGACTGCTTCTTTCTCCTTTATTGTTCTGAGTGTAATTAGTTAGTGAAATTAACCGTCATGACCTCCTTCATCTTCTGTGGGGGAAGTAAGCGTGGATTAATTTGTTCATGTCTTCAGTATCTGTTCTCATTAGACACCAGAAGCATCCTTGAAAACAAAGCTTTTTTTGGATAATTCAAGCTGACAAGTGACCAAAGAATGCATTAGAAGAATAGTATGGTTTTAACAGCATCACGATAAATGTTTTTTGTTGAATGTTGCCGTGAACATTTTATTGAGTACACAACTCGGCTGATGTGAAGTTGGTTTTAGACGAAGTGAAAAGATATTAAAAAAATCATTAGATTTTTTTAAATGTTTACAAGAGAAGCAATTTTCCTTTTTGTGATTTTCGTTTTGTTGACAAAGCTTTTAATCTATCGACTTCTTGATTCGTTTAATTCGAAAATTTACGGAAATAAAGTGACATGACGTGTGCCCGAATAGTCAACTTAATTAGACTTTTAATTTGTTAACATCAGCAACTAAAATTGAACTAATTTTTAATTTTATGCCTGAACCACCGTTCAGCAACTGCAAAAAAACGGCGCAAACAAAAATGGTACCTGTAGTTGCTTAACTCTGTCAACTAAAGTTGTAAGTCAGCAGCAGCAGTAGCAGTCAGGTTTCGCCTTTTGATCTTTCACACTTTTTGTGAACACTTTTGAAGCTACTGCAGATGTCGGTATGCGTCTGTATTATGTGCTGATAGTAAAATAAATGAATAGTTGATTAGGGCGACAAGGAGATTTACAAAATCAACCTGATGTTTGTACAAACTTGGTGAGACAAAGACGATGGAAAAAGAGGTGAAGGAGGTGGAAAGCAGTGGAAAGGTGCGAAGAAGATATGTAAAAAACCCTGCTCAACGAAATGAATTAAATTATCCTTTCAAAACTCAGTTTGTTTTAGTTTGTTTTACCTTTTTTTTTTTCTTTACTTTGCTTTCTTTCGTCTACAAGAAAAAAATGAGTGAATAATAAGAAAAGGAAAAACAAAATGAAATAAAAACTAAGATGGCGTCCTTCAATTCCAAACACTTCAACTTTTTATTCTTTGATGAGTGTGTTGTTTAAATTGTTAGCGCCATGGACTGAGTGCAGTTTGGTGACTGCGTTCATCTCTGATGATTCAAATCTTCGCAGTCGCCCGTCGTTTCGTTTTGAGCGCAACTTCAGGTACTAAAATCACGAAGGGCCGGCTAATAAAAAAAGGATAAAACAAGTGGTGTTTTTCAATCCAATGAGAACTGCCAAATGCATATCAGCCAAATACTTTAAGAAAACTGATCTTTTTTTTCGACGGTATTAAAGGCAGACAAATCGATATTTACATACTTTTTGTCGTTTACAGATATGATATGAATTATCATAAAAGAGTTTGAGTTGACCTAATAAAATGAAATAAGTCCTGACTTACAAAAAAAAGTAGCTACATCAAGAGAAAGCAAAGAATAAAAAAGGAAGACAAGAAAGAATTTACAAAAGTAGAACCAAAAAAGAATAAAAACAACTGAATCAACGTAATTTTAGAGTCAATAAATTTCTAATAATTCAAGTTTTAGTCTTAAAATTCTAGAGACGACCTGTTTTAGTAAATGCTAATATCTTTGGTCAACAAAACTGGCGTTTGGTCAGTAGTCATTAAAGCGTTGGAAACAACAGCTTTTATTTGGTTCTTACAAAATAACTAATAACAATACTAATGTATCACTATTTTTCCCAGAAACGACAGTGCGAAGTTAAATTTGAATGCAAAAAAGCTATTCTAATACTTCTACTAAATGCTCAATTAGGTAAATTTTGTCTAACCAGATATCCTAGCAATAGAAAAAGAATTTTTAAATAGAAAATTAACGAAAACTGTAGCAAAAAATAAATCTAAAAACCTAATAAAAGCTTTCCAAGAATGTTGAAGATTTTAGAGAAAGCCAAAAAATCATTTATTAAAACTATGTTCGAAAAAAAAAATTATCTGAAAAAAAAGAGCATTTTAGTCAGCATATCATGTAAAAATATGCCTTTTTGGGAAGGGATGGGAACAGATACTAAACCAATTCCATGACCACTGTAACTGATAATAACAATAAAGGTTTAAAAAGGGAGAAAAAAGTCTTCATTTCCTATTTTTCTGCGACATGATTCATTATACAAATAGCGACATATATTGGCCGACAAAATAATGTTTATTACGATCGGTTTTCAGCAGAGAGTGCCATTAATTTGTTGCTGTCCCAACACTGTTGCATAAGCAGCAGCAAATCTGATGCCCCGCAGCAATAATTCGATGTGTCCTGTGGCAATTTGAAAAAAAAGACAAAATTCTAAAAGAGCCGCTGTTGTCTAAAGAACGCGTAATGTATAAGCTGTTGTTATATCACTATTTTATAGCTAAAATTTTAACAAGTTTTTTTCTTGCGCTCCTACATAAGATCTATAAATAGACAAAAAATTATTGTAACTACACTGCAGTAAACCCCGTAGTGATGGATCTCGATAGCCGCATTAAAGCTTATCGTTTTGTCGCCTATTCAGCAGTGGCGTTCTCAGCTGTTTCGGTACTTGCTGTTTGCTTTGCTCTACCACTGGTTTATAACTATGTTCACTCAGTTCAACGCCAAATGGATAATGAAGTTAAATTTTGTAAGGTAGAGATTTCATTCAACTTATTCTATAAAGAGCGAACAGTTTTTTCTTGTCAGTGTAGTTCAAACCACTTTTTTTCTCATCTTAAGTTTCAAAAGTGAAAATCTAAGCAACTTCCAATTGAAAGTTAAAATCCAAATAGTCGTCAAGTCAAAATCCTTACGCAAAATTTTTTACAGAATGCAGCTAGAGATATTTGGTCTGAGGTACATGACCTAAAAAAAATTCCAATAAGTAGAAATCGCACTACCCGTCAAGCAGGCTATGAATTTGGGGTTGACAGCACGGGGCCACAAACCCAGAGCACTGATGGCACTTGTCAAGAATGCTGCGTACCAGGACCATCTGGACCGCCAGGAACTCCTGGTAGACCTGGTTTGCCAGGCAAGCCTGGAACACCTGGATTGCCTGGAAGTCCAGGAAAGCCTCCAGTCCATATCTGCGAACCACAAACACCGCCACCTTGCAAACCTTGCCCAGCCGGTCCGCCTGGCTCAGAAGGACCAGCAGGAGAACCGGGAGAGCCTGGACCAGATGGAATTCCAGGAGCTGATGGCAGAGAAGGACAGCCAGGACTAAACGGCTCACAAGGACCCCAAGGAGAACCTGGACAACCAGGTTTCGTTGGTGCACCTGGCCTTCCAGGCAGAGATGCTCCAACTGGTACAATTCTTCCAGGACCACCAGGACCGGCAGGTAATCTGGTCTCCAAACAACACTTCCGCATTACTTGAAATTCCTACTTTCTCAAACTTTATTCAATAACCAAAAATTATCATTTCCAACTCCAAATAGAGATTTATTTTCAAATTTAAAAAAAAATTTCTAGGAGATCAAGGCGCACAAGGACCTCAAGGTTCCACAGGTAAACTAGGAAAAGATGGGGCTCCAGGACCTCAGGGACCTAAAGGTATTTCTGGCCCAGTAGGAGAACAAGGTCCTGCTGGAGCACTTGGTAAAACTGGTCCAACAGGTCCGACAGGATCTCCAGGAGAACGTGGCATTTGTCCTAAATACTGCGCATTGGACGGAGGAATCTTCTTTGAGGATGGTACCCGTCGCTGACAGTGTTTTAAAACTACTATTTTTTCAGGTGCAACCAAAGTTAATTATTAAGAGCAGTTTCACAGCAATAAAAATTATATCGATTTTTTATTCTTGCCCAAGTTAAAATGACAATGAAGACTAAAGATACACAAGTATAGCAATTGCCAAAAGACAAAAGTCAAGGTCATTGAATGCTGTTTTTCCTTTCAACAATCCGTTAAAGACCTCGCTACAGCAACTAGATAAAAAACATTAAAAACAGCAAGAACTGCTGAATACCAAAAATAAATTATTTGCAAAAACTATTGTTTATTTTAATTGCTTTAGCAACAGATTAAAGCACGAATAAAGTGCAGAAAAGTGTATTTGGCTTTAAAAAAAATTAAGCCTTCAACGCACACAAATACAGTCTCCACTACAACTATATAAAATAACTTTTTAGAAACTAAGTACACGAAGTGATCACTGACAAAATACACTAAAATTACCAGTTCTATTTAAGCAATTAAAAGCGAAACAATTGTGTAAAATATTTCCAGCCCTAAAATTTTGTTTGTTGCCTTGTTACGGTCTAATTGCGTCCCAGTTCCGAATAATATTAGAGGATACAAGGCAAAAAAATAAAGAAATATTGACAGAGAGATCGAAAAAAAAAGAACAAAGTAATAGATACTATTCTAACAGAAAGAATAAATGTAGAAAAATAACAAAAACCAGTAACAACTTTTTGACAAAATATCGCAGTCCTAATAAAATGCATTAAATACATATAAATGAACATTTTAAGGCACGACAGTTACAACATAAGGAATTATGTCTCAGAATTGAATAAAAATTCAATTCCTTTTTTCTTTATCTTCGTCTTCCCAGTTCTTCTTCAGAACTCAGTCTTTCCCACCGTTCATTTGCACAGAACACCACCCAAACTTAAAAAAAAAAAAAGAAAAAAAAAAGAAATTTAATGAGAGGGGAAAACACTAGCGCTTGAAGTCAACTAACGCCTAAACGCCGATCTCGGCATAGAAACTATCCTTATTATTTGACGTCTCTTTACCACCTTAAAAAAACGTCTTTTGTGTGAGAAGAGCCTTTGTATCCAATAAGAAAAGATAAGTAACCTACTTTAAAAGATTGTAGTTTTAGCTTTGAGAACCTCCTAATAAAAAGAGGTACACAGTGACAACTAGTTTGGTTGACTGCATCTAAAAACTAGTACCAATAAAAGAAAACAAAAAAAAACCAACAAAACGATTAAAACACAGATAGGCGCACACAGAGACAAAAAAACCAATGAGGATATGTAATAAATCATAATTTGAGGTAACGAAACTGATGACAATAATAGGAATAAAAAAACAATAATATTCAAAATTCTGACAATAAACATGAGGGCTTAGCTAATTCACAAACACTTCAGCATTTTTCCAAGAATCCATCTTAGTTTTCTGTAGAAAGATCTTGAACCAAAAATTCCTCCAGCCTTGGAACAGCGATATTGGAAATCCACCTCAGTTTATTTTCCACGTACTGTAGATGCATTTGCATATGAAAGCTCCAGCTTGGCATCACACGCTTCAGCAGATGTAACTCAGACTCCGAGCGTACCAAATGCACTAAAACTCGTCCAACGTGGAAGGAATCTTTTGTTTCGGCCGAAAACAACATGCGTCGCTCTTCTAACGGCATCGCGCCAATGGCCAACCAAAACAGCTTACGAAACTTGAAGTTGTAGAAGAGGAAATGGTTGTTCTTTAAAATAAAAACGTTACGTCTCTTTAATTTTGTTTAGAAATACCGTTAAGACGAGAATAGTAATGCGCAGTTGCTTAGTTATTTAAAAAACTAAACGTTTAGATAGCTATTACTTGATAAACTGATTAATAATGTAAAGGTACCTGCAACGCAGCTGTGTACATAGCAGCATTTTTGGTATCCACAATATGTTCTACAGCTCTTTTCAATATTTCCTCGTTTTGAACGCAAATTGCTAACTGAAGGTTTTCCGACCATTTGCCCGTAGACTGTTTCAAACCATCCGTAATAAGACCAAGTTCGCGACGAGTAGCACCATTAAATAGGTGGTGACATACTGCAGTAAGTTGCAGATAGTAGTCGCTTTCACTAACTCCGGAAGCGACAATCCACTTATTAACCTAAAAATGCCATAAGTTAGATTTATAATAGAACATCAAGCGTAAGCAGACCTTATTTTTTTCCTTCTTCTCGAACAGTGATTCTTGTAGTTTAAAAATGATGATTTTCAAGAAATACCTGCTTATCCTCCTCACATGACTCCAAATTTGTGGCACAACGAAGTTGATATAGTTGTATAAGTCTTTCTGGATCGATCAACCAGACAGCAGCTTTTTCGGGGTTGGCACGCGACTCATTGAAGATTTTATCAATCTGTTTTACAGCCTTAAAAAAATGGGAATCGAAGTAAAATTCCAAATGTAACTGAACTTTCCTTTGTCTATACAGTTATTGTTCTAATCAGTACGATTCATTTTTAACTCTTTTAAAAAAAATTAAAAAAAAATGACTTTTGCGAGAAATGCGAATACTCGCTCATTCAGCTTGCTTCCCTTCATCAAATCCGCAAAACGATAAACTGAATCGAGTCCGTGAAGCAGCACTCCCAAGTCTGTTTCCTTAGCCAGATATCTAAAAAACTTATAAAATAGCAGATATCTGTAACGCGTTGCTCTAATTAGTCAGAACTCCACTGATACAACATGGATATAAAGCAAAAAATTTGAATTAAAAAAATAAGTATATCAATTTGGACGTTGTAAATTTTAAAGCATTTCTTATATTGCAAGTTACCCAATTAACGACGCATATATCTCTGGTACCCCAGACTGTTTCAAATAAAATTCGGCATCACAGATCAATTGTATTCGCGACTTTACAGGAATTTTTTCGTGATTATCATTGAGCTTCAATACAGATAGGTGTTAATGACAGGGACTGTGCCATTGAAAAATAAATGTAAATTAAAAGAGAATACACTCAGCTTTAACCCTTATTGGACCACAGCAGGTCTTTTGAATAGCTTGTAAAAAAAGCGTGCACATCACAACTTACCATTCGAACAAGCAATTTCCAGTTTGACAGATCGTAGTTGACACGAAACGGATACATCCAGTCAGGGTTTGCCAGAAGTGCTGAGTCGTCTTTTAAACTGTTGTCTTCAAATGTTAACGTTTCGTTTTGTAACCAAAATCGTTGTATGAGGGAACCTAAAAGCAACAAAGGGTGAATTATTCATAGGTGGGCCGTTTCTGTCGAGGGTTCTAAACCAGACAAGGAACTATAGCATTAATAACAAAATTTTGCCATCTGTAGTCGTTCTCTTAAAAATTATTTGGTACAAAAAAGCATTAGGAATTAGAAAAGCATTTTCCTGTCACATTTGGAAAGTGGAACAATGGTAAATGGAAGCAAAACAAAGCTCAGCCAAGAAGTTTCTAACATCTGAAAGTGGTCAAGCAGTTGAGGCTTTTTTTTATGTATAACATTCAATATAATATTTAAAGCTTATCGATTCGGCACAGTGTCTGTGAACAGAAATCCTTTCTTTCAAGCTCAAAATCTTACAAAACACTCCTAGCTAAGTTGGTTTAAAATATCAGTGTGAAATTTTCTCAGCAAATTCCTACTTGCATTCAGCTACTGCCATTGAATCCAGCTAATCAGCAACTTTCCTATAAATCTTTCACAGCTCTCCCGGTATTTCCTATTCATTTCAATAGCTGCCCTCTAAATTCCTTCTTTGTGAACATACTGCTCTGACAATACCTCTTTTTTTGTAAAAAAGCCATTTTCTTCAATGAATATCACAGATCTTCCTACCTTTTATTAGATAAAACGCCACTAATATTGTTCCATTCAAAGTACGTAACTATGGAACTCCATAGTCAAACTGCGATATCTGGCTTCTAACAACGGAATGTCTTTTACTTTCTTGCCAACTCAGCAATCTTATAATGCAGCTCTATATGCTCCTTTTAAAGTGTTCTCCATAGCCTGTTTGTCACCATATTTTTATACGTCTTGAAATTAAGCGGTTTTTTTAAAAATGAGCAGTTACTTCTTTTGCGGTAAACAAAGGCTTGCAAATTTTCTAGATTTTTCCAACATCAATTTTGATTTGACGTCCTAACCGGAGTAGCCAGAAAATTAACCGCGTAGCGGAAGTTTGGTCAAAAATCACAACTTAAACCCGGCTGCTAAACCACAGATTAAAAAGCTTTAAATTTTCTTCGCAAACATAGTCTTTGTTTGCTTGGATTCAATGAGGGAGTAAAAATGTCAAGAAATATCACTCTTTTTACGATTCTCAGTGTATTTAAGAAATTATCGTCATTAAGTGTTATAAATTACGATTAACTGCAAAGTATTAGTAACACACTTTTATCGTCGCTGAAGCTCAGGATCTGATAACTGAATGGAATTATCCAATGTTGTTTTCTTCTTTCTGATCTCCGAAACTTCGCACGACTTTCAAAATTTATAACCAGTTTTCTGGCCTTCTTATTTTCCAACATTTGAGGCTAAACTGATCAAATCATGTGAAATTAACTCAATCTTATTGAACAGTGGCTGTCAAAATGACGAGCATATTTCTGTAACGGTTAACTTTTCGACAAAAGGCGTGAAACAATAAAGAATAGTGAACAACAACATCACTGATAATCTTACAGTGTTTTTTTAATGCACTTTTTTTGTTTATTGTAAAAAAAATTTTTAGTACCGACAAGTAATTACGCAAAGTAATAAAAACCGCATTTTGTATGTTTCTTTTTATTTGTCTTCAGCTTTGACTGAAACTTTTAAGAAGGTTGAAGCAACATCAGGGTAGGCAAGTGTGGACCCAAGTGTTTGGGCTTATCTGACCCCTAGTAACTACTTAAAAATTAGCAAGAGCGAAAACCGAGCGTCTATTAAAGAAAGGTTCAAATCGGTTGCATGAAGAGCCTGGAACGAAAGAAAAATTTAAGTACGACCGTGTATAGTTGTTTTAGAAAATCAGCTGTTACTTTTGAGGGTAACAAGCCTCCAATAGCACCGAACAGATTTTTAATAAAGCTTTGCCAGAATTGCCAGTGATATTGTTATTTATTATCCCACTTGTTCCTCGTCTACTGTCAAAAAAGCATTGGCCGCGAAAACCTTGTTGTCACCCGTATAATTTTGACTACCACCACATACAGGCTGCAAGTTTAAAATTAAATAAAAATACTTTAAACTTCTGTTAAAGATTTAAAACAGACTGTTTCTAACAAAATGAAAATCTTTACAACAACAGTATTTGTTGGTTTATTAACTTTCTTCTCCTTCTTTGGCCTTATGCGTTTTCCCTTCCTTTCAGCTTTTCTTTTTAATAGTTCATTAACTATTTCTTCAGAATGAGTTGGAATATGGTCATCTTCCAGAGGTGTTACAGATGTTACGTCATCAAACAGAGACTCATCAAATGGGATAGACCCATCGGAAAAGCGCAGTTCTGTTCCTGGATTTATTGTTAAAAAAGTACAGGTTTTGCTTAACATAAGCCGAGTTTTTATGGCTGAACTTACCTTGGTTTAAAACTTGCGAATTTGTTGATGAACGAGTTTTTCGTTGCTTTTTTAGTGGCGGTGTTCCAAAAAGCGACGGTCCGTTCTGGTATTTTCTTTTTGTGGTTTTCTCGGTCTGATTGTTCAGATAAATAATGTAACGATTTTGGTCCGAAGTACGTTGAGAGATCCTGACCGTTCCATCCCGGTAATTCCGACTGCCAAAAGCATAAATGAATATTATACTAAAATGAGTAACCTTTCTTCTGCGTTTGAAAGAAAGCCTCCATTTACCTAATTGTTACTTCTGGCATGCCATTATTGATTAACCAAGGCTCAATAACGTTTTCTAAAATTTCCTGTTCTGTTCCAAACGTAACGTGCTTCGGCAATGCCTTCCACAAGGCTTCGCGTCCAACAGCTTTGAATGCGTTGTTTTTTAGATATCTTAAATAATCCACATCAGTAATTGTTAAATAAATGGTTTTAAATTGATTCACATTTGCAGATAAAATGACTATAAACCTTTGCACACTTAAGCGAAACTCTCCATCAGAGACAAGGTTTTTGGTCATCTCGATGATCACACATCCTTTGGTATACATATGAAACCGATCAAAAGCTCGTTCTACTTCAGCTTCAGTTCGCATATGTTTCACCAGCGACATCTTTTCATCGGACGTCTGTGAGAATATAAGACAATTCAAAGAAAGTTGTTTTTGTAAAATTAAAGCTGGTTGGCTACATACAGAAGTAACTTGCGAATTACAACTCTCTATAATGTTTGGAAAACACGAACAAAACACTGGAGTCTTCAAAAAAATTTCTAAACCACTTTTTCCAGTGCTTGCTGAAAATCACCAACCATTTTTCCAGCCAATTAATCTTTTGAAAATATTATAATATTTTCAAAAGAAGCCAAAATATCTGTTTTCTAACATTAAAGAATTAGTAAGCTTTAGGTTGTCTTAAAACTTCTAGAATTTGGTACTTCCTTTATTTACTTACACTCGTGGTACAATCCTTATATAACTGTGTAAAATTAAATACTGAAGTATGAAGGTTTCTGAATACCATAATATCGCAAAAGAATAAGCTCCTAAAGCTGAACTGCTGAAAGACAGAGCAAGAATTTTCTGTACTTTAAATACTTTCATTTTACTTTGTAACTACTGTTTGGCAAGCGAATGCAAAAAAGAATGACATTTCATACTGATTTTATGTGCCGCTTGACTCGTAATGCTTATTTTAAAACCTTCTTATACTGAAGCTGTTTCAAAGTGTTTTTTTCTTTTAATTTGAGCAGTAGTAAAAATTTTACGCTGAAAACTGCTGAGCAGTATCTCAAACCATGGAACAAAACCGCCGAGTTAAAGCGTTTCAAACAAGGACTTATTTTTTAAGAATGGCTGCGGCAAAAAAAGACTTGAAAGAATGTTTACTCTACTCAATTCCTGTTTTTTTATTCTTTAAGGTGTGTCGTATATCAATTTTACCAACTATTAGAAACTGTAATGTCAGGTTCTTGACAGAACAGAACTAACCTGCTTGTTTTGCAGTTGAGCAAGGTACAAATAATACTCTATATCAGTCAAATATGGATGAGAATCTTTAAGAGCGTCGTAGACATAAAATGATGCAAATCCTTCGTTTAGCCAAATTTCCGACCAGTTGTTCAGAGTTACCAGGTTACCAAACCTGGATCTTCTTGGCATTCCATAGTTCAACAGATATAATAAGCATATTGCTATTTCATTTGCTTTACTTCCGAAGATAAAGAAGAAAGAGCAGTTCTGCCTCTAACTTAGTTTAAAGAGTATATCTTTTAAACAAATTTAGATTATTTTGTCAGTAGTGTAAAAATAATTTTTAAGAAAAATCTTTACTGAGAAACCGTACCACTGATGAGTCAGTTCGTGTGTTACTATTTTTTCGATTCCATATCGAAGGTCTAAGAGATCAACTGTTAAATTGCTGTTGTCTGAAATTAAGCAGCTGTGATCTTACACGACATAAAAGCTTCATATGGTTTAGCCAAAAATTTAAACAGAGAGCGAATGACTAGAAACCGTGTAAAGCAATTGACTTTGTAAATTTACTATGTAACAAAAAGTGATCGAATTTACTAGATATTGTTAAGCAAAAAATATAAAATATACTTTAAAATAACAACCTTTCAGCAATGAGTTCAAAAGTAGCATATTGTCATTATATATCACTAAACCCCAGTTCTCCATGCCACCAACTGGAAACGAACGAGCAGCTACAAAATCAAGTTTCGAAAATGGATATAAAACCTAAATTTTTAGATTTTACGTTTCTTGTTTAAGTCAGAAATGGAAGTAAACAAGTAATTAAGTAGAATACGAGAATAGCTACTTTAAATTCATGCTCCAAACGGTCAAACATCGATGGAGAAAAGTTTGCAGCAAATTTGGCGTTTTCCAAGTTGTCCGCAAAAGTCCAAATTTTCAATGGCAAATTTCGGTTCGTACGAGTTTCTATCGAAACTAGTGGCCCTGAAATAACAAAATTTGAGTAATTTTTATTCTAAGTCTAACTAATAAATAAAAGAATAAATTAGTTTTGATTAATAAAACGCAGTGATCAAAAGCGTTTTTGTTATCAACCGCAAAATTAATTTTTGAACTATTCCTAATGTCGTCTTTCAATTGTTTGACTTTGCCAATCCATTAACAACAAACACGAGTAAAAAAAAACAAAACCAACTAGTTTTTTTACTGTTTAACAGTAAAAAAAGCTAGCCTTTTTAGCAGCTCTTATTAAGGACTTTTCAGCTTTGCGCTAAGAAAAATATCTTCATTTACCAACTGCAAATGCCACTAAATACGCAGACATAGGAGGAGTTTGATGAAAAACTGTTAAAATTGTGTCTCTGCCCAGATTGACGCTGCTCACTCGCTGTGGAGCCGAATTAGAGAGTACCGTAATTGTTCGAAGATGGATAGCTGAGAGATTAAACGTCGCCTAAAACTCAATTGATCTTTCACCTCAGTTTCCTCTCCGACTCTCGGAAGCACAAACCTTAGATCTATCTTGTCTCTTTCTTCCACTTTACATTTTGTTTGTTTCACTTTTTTATTTTAATGTAATTGTAAGAAAAAAGTTGACAAACTTTTGAATTGAAAAAATGTATTCTGCCAAAGAATAACAGAATTCACTGGTGTTAATAGATATTTCAAAATGACAGAGACTAATCGTTTTTCAAAAAATTATCAATTTTTTCAAAAGATACCTTGATTTGCGGTTCATCCCAGCATGGAAAAAATGTCCTAGCCAAAGTTGGCTCAAAATTTGTCGTAAAACTTATTACTTTGTCTACAGCTTCAGGCTAAAATGTAGCAATTGATAATGCTACAGTTAAAGAAACCACGAATGTAATGAAAAAGGTAACAGAAGCTTAAACGAACGACCTGGTCGCGATTACTTCGATAGCAGTAAGCACCGCTGGCTTCGTCTCTGCATATGCTGGTAAGAAAATCTATTTGTAATCGATATCTGATGAGTAAAAAATTGTTTAGTCAGATTTTTAAAGTAAAATAGAGATTTGAAAATGACATTTTCCTTTCTTTGACTGCTTTTAATTACTGTAATATGCGTAAAAAATCTAAAAATTTCAGAATCCAATTTCTACACAACACTATTTCTTAAGCGACGTTTTACCATCAAAATTTCACGAAAAATTCTTAAAATTTAGAATATACTGCCACAACAAGCAAAGATTAAACGGTTAATACCTTCCAGCTACTAAATTTTCTTTTAAGACTAAGCTGGTAGTTCTCGAACGTGCGTTGCGCTTAACTGAATGTATAGTTACTGGACGTCCTAAAATTAAGAGAAGAGAAGAGATTACTTTTTCTTGCATAGTCTTTTTCCTCTTTTTTTTTGTTTTTTTTTTTGGATGTATTAAGAAGCAATGCTGTGTTCTTTAGTTAACTAATCCAGCAATAAATTATGCTTAAGTAATAGAAGTCACACTTTGACAAGTGATATAGTTTGGAAAAATCAAGTCAAAAAAAGTTCAGTACAGAATCGGTTTAAATTGCTAAGTTCTAATTAGAATTTAAGTCGCAAAAAAAAATATTTGCTTGCCAAACGTTGAAAATCGTTCTGAACGGTCATTTTGCAGTATCTTTATATTGTTTTGCAAAAAGTATCTGAGACAATGTAAATATTAAGAATGTGACCATTGTATCGAAGCTGCACTCTGTCAATATACACATTTGTGCCGCAGTGGAAAGTGATATTTTTAGATGTAGTATTTAATAACGAATTTAGTAATATTGAAGCATTACCAACGATTCGTCCAGTAGAAAATGAAGTAAAATCAAACTGAAAATTTATTTTTAGTAATGTCTATAAGTAAACGCTGAAAAATTTTTACTCTGTTGTTATTCTTTATTCTGAACAATTACATAAGTTCGATTAAAAATAAATTTCCAGTTTTACATTTTGTAAAAATTTTTTATTTATGACGCTATAACCTATTGACCAAGTAATAGATGATAAAAGTATAACTATTCATCCGTGAAATTAAGCTGAATAATAGCCATAATTTTCTGAGTTTAAATAATGTCTGTTTATTAAATGTTAGGTGTAAAACGTAACTTAAAACCAACTAGTGTATCATTTTCGTCATTTAGATTGCGAATTACTAGTCATATTAATGAAAATAAAAGTGTAGATTAGTGCCGTAAAAGACTACTTTTTTAATCTTTTTTACCATCTTAGTCCTCCTTCGTGTTCGCCTCAATTTTTTAAAATAAATAAATGAAATTACCTGAATGCTGTAGTGAATTGGAAAGATATTTTGAGGCACAGGATTTAGCAAAACCTTTCGATGTTTTTTGATATGTGCTTTACTAGTATAATGAAAAATTTCGTTCGGTGTATACAACGACGACGGCGGATACACATCACGTAATTCCAAAATTTGTGATTCTTTTATATTTTTCTAAAGAAAAAAGAGATTGACAATTGGTCTATTAGATTTAAACCTAAAAACGTTTCTTTGTACTAGTAGAACAAAGACCAATCTGTCGATTTCCATGGAAATGTTAAGTTCTAAGACAGTTGACAAATGATGTTAAATTCTTCAATGCAATAGCTATTTCTACTCTATTAGCTACAACACGATAAAGAGAAAGAAATAAGTGAATAAACTGTGAATTGTAACAAACATTTTCTCTGTTTTCTAGCGGTAACGTTGATGCATTTTTGATTGAAATCGCTAATGTCTGTATGGTGGTTTTGAAGGCAACTGAGGTGGTAGCGACCGCTGTGGAGGTGCTGTGGCTGTCCACAGCGGTAACAGGTTTGGATTTTGTCTAAAAACAACGGCTAAGAAACAATAGCTTTTTTGACAAAAGACAGAGTTTTTTTTGCTTTCCAATCTTCTATTGTTTTTTCCTATTCGTACTTTTATATTTTTTGTCAATTAAGTGAATAAACAAATTGCAGCATTTAGGCAGTTGTAGTCAAATTCTGCTCATTTTGTTCAAAAGTCGAAAAAAACAGCTAAAAACGAAAGCAACTGCAGCAGCAGAAAAAAAGAGCAACAACCAAGCATAGCATTTCAAAGTCTAACCGATTTCACATATCGGTCTAAATTTTGCAAAGAAATAAAGTTTCATAAAACAAGTGAGAAAAAATTATGCTAAAACAAGCTTGAAAAATATCTGTTTTAAATCTGCAACAATCAATTCCTGCCCTTTTCCCTCTTTCATTCGCCTCCTTATCGAACATCAAAAACTGCAGGACAATTCACCGCTAAACAGATTTACTCCAGTAATTTTCTTATATTTTTAAAAAGGAAGTTTCAATTTCCCGGTTACATAAATAGTAATCGAAAAAAAACAAAACAAAAAAGAAACTATAAGAAGAAAATAAAAAGAACTTATAAAATGTCAATAAAATAAAACTTTCAGGCTGTTAGCTAAGCAGTAAAGCAAAGAAAAAAAACAAAAAAAGAGTAGAAACATTTGAAGAAAAAAGCAAAATAGTAAGACATTAAAAAAACAGAAAAATAATCAAAGAACAATCATGATAGTTTTTTAACTTTAGTAATCTTTTAAATTTTTTTTCACTTTTTTACATCAAAAAATTTTACTTGTTTTTCTGCCAATAAATTATTGCAAAAACTTTGTTTTTTCATTCCTTACTAAAGCAAAATGCCTTTTTAATTATAGCTTGAAAATACGTGATAGTAATGAAGAAAAAAAAGAAAGAAATTGTTTACGGAATCTTCAAAGTGAACTTCAGGTTGAGCAATCCAGTGGCCAACGACGAACGCAACAATGATACCGAAAATGAAGATTGCAAATATTAACGATACCAGTATGCAACGACCTACATGATCGGAAGTTTTTTCGCTGATTGTCGTCGACAAATTCGTGTGATAGCTTTCGTCGTAATCTGCAACTTCTGCAGGCTTAATGACTTCAAAAACGCTGAACATAGCATTACCATTTATAGATAGTTGTGAAATCTGGTACATTATCCTACCCGAGATCTTACTGTGTTTAAGACAGAAATTATAATGGTGACTTATCTAATTCTAAAAACTACTATAACTTTAGTTGTCTTCCGGTTAATTTTGATAAACTATTTAATTAACAAAACACTGGTCAAAAAAGAAAGTTCAGCTGAATTTACTTGCTCAGTCTATGTCGCTGACTTGCAGTATAATCTATTTGTTCGTCTGAAATCTCAACAAGTAACAACAACAAATTTGTTTTGAGCTTGAATG